ACAAACGTCAATCTGGGGGAACATGACGAGAAGGAACAAAATTCAGTCAGACATGGAAGGTGGAACAAGACACATGGCTATGGAAACCAAGAGACACACTCGGGCACTCAAGTACATATTAATATAAACCACTAAGATTCCATCAAATTAACGTCTGCATTTAACTTCTATTCTCTTTGCTATCCTGTAACACATTCTCATACTACTTTGTTTATCAAGTAGTGCCCCTGGCTGTACATGGACATTTTTCAAGTATTGTCTTAGACTTAGTGAGTGGTAAGAGAGTACCAAGGGGAGGTCCTATATATGTTTTTCCTTCTGTTGTTCCTGTTTATCTGTTGTACTTGTTCCCAGCACTAAATGAGCGTTGCTGAACCGATGTGTATCTTTACATAATATTTATTAGAACAAACGAACACGCCATAGACTTAAGTTGACCAGGTGCAGTTTTCTGATTCTAAGTTATGGTTGTGACATGATTTTAATCCTACTGACTCTTCTACACACTGAAGGCACCGTCGCACAGTTCCGCAGATAAACCCAAGCCTCGCTCCAGGGGAACTGAGATGCACGAGTGCTAGTGGCTCAAACAGGTGTGGCTCAAATTGTTATCGTTGCTATTCCGAGGGGGCTGAACCAGAAGGTGTAGAAAGATTCTTGAAAATTCTCATAACAACCAAAGCTCAAGAACAGCCTGGTTTGGATACGAGCTACGATTATATGCATTGATGGTACTCAAGAAACAATCGAGGAACCCTTGTGTTTGGGTATCTCGAAATAGGGAGAGAGTTGTATAACCGCTTGAGGTCAGTATAACAGTTAGAGAAAGGACACAACAGCAATAGCAATGAAAGATATGCCAAATCAGACAAAACCACTTGCGCATAGGTCACCAAAATCAATTGCCGTAAGATGCAGACGTAAGCTACATTTCTTGCTCCTTGGCCTATAATTTGGACTACCTCACTCACGTAAATTCATCTTGCGCAATATTATGTGCATTTTCGTTTGGATGGGGTTCTTTTTCTTTCTTCACTACTCATCCCCTCCTCTGCTCCACCCTTTCTAGACAAAGGAAAGTCTGTCCATTATCCTCCCACATTATATTATCATCATTGTCCTCTCCATCAGGATCTTGCCTGCACTACACACAACTGTTCGCTTAACAAACACAACAATAGAACTCACAATCTTCTAGACAAAGTCCTACAAATGGAAGCAGGGGAAGCCCGCAACAACGAAGGAAGGTTTCTAAACAATAGCAGAAAACAAGCCAAGGACACATAAAGGAATTTATTGTTATCTCTGCTGTGTACTTTACAGGCATTATTTTGTCTTCCTTGACATTTTCACTATACGATAGTACAGTTAAAGATTGCCTGTTGCCCCCCACACTGCTCTCTCCCCCTGCCCCCTAAAAAAACAACAACTAATACCTCCCCCTTCCCCAACACACGCGCACGCACACGCGCCCGAACCCGCGCCCGATAACACCCCCCCCCCCCCC